TGAAGCTCAAGACGCGAGAGACGGTTGCTCACTCAGCCCTGTGCCACATAAATTTCACGGCAATCAGCCGGCGCTGCAAGTCATCCAAACTTCATTTGTTGCTACTTGGGCTCTGGGCTCTGGATACTCAGTTCTGGGTTCTGGATTCTGTTTTGTTTTTCGCTTTTGCTCCTGCAGGATCTGGATCCTGCCCCATGGCTCCTGCAGCTGAAATATTGCTTCCATTATTTATGTTAAGTTTATGCAACATTCTCCTTGCCGCTTCCAGCACAAGTCCTGCTGCAGCACTAGTCCTTCCTCTCTTGTTTTTAATATCCTTCAGCTTGTAAAGGAATTACTCCTGGAGCCGGCAACTAAGAGCAAACTCAAGTCTCACGGCATTCGGCTCCTGGTATACCCCATTTTTATAGTCTGCCTTTATTTTTGGTTCGTCTATTTCCATTATTTGGCTCGTTATTCAAACATCATCATCTTTCTGGTTCAGTGCACTGGGCTGTGGAAAAGTGCGGATAACAAGGAGCGCCATGTTATTGCCATCGAGTGCATTAATAAATCAATAGTTTTTTGCATCTCAAAGAGCTCGCCTTGCTCCAGAGATTGACAGGTCGGAAATCTGAAATGTAATCGCTGCCAGACGAAGCCATTTGCCATGAAATGAACTCTAATTGGGTTCACTTGGAGGGTTATAAAAGAAAACGGATAAAGGCGGTGAAGGGATGATGAACTTGTTAAATACTTGAATGCGTTAAAGGTCTTGAGTAAAAGGATTATAAAGGTGCGTAGAAAAGAACTGCAAGTTGGTGCGGATTTACATAAATAACAGGCTAAGAAAGTGTCATTCATCAATGAAGTTAATTCTGTTAAGCGTCAAACTAATTATAAAACAATATAATAGAGAATAAATGAGTTATACAAGTAAAGTGTCAAATCTAAAGTAATACGAATTCCTTCGACCCACAAAGTGAACCATTTTTAATGAGCCAAAATGCTTTCAGCCAAAAATTCAATCTTAAAATACGCGAAAACTAACCATAAGCTATTTAGTTACCCAAATGGACCACAGGAAAATGTGTGCGTCCATGTTTTCGCCTCAAGCTCATTAACTGCTCGGGGCTCCCCTACTAGATTGTTATTTTTCCCTTAGCTCACACAAAGAATAATAGGGAAAGCAAGAACATTTACTAATTAGCACTCCCGGGATGCACAGAATGAATGTAAAATTATCAAATCGTTTTTCCCTGCATTTCTTTTGTTTGGTGTTTAGTTTGTTTGTGGTATTAAAAAGGAAATCGTAGGAGGGCGTGAAATATTCATGGCAGCGAAACGAAAACGAATTTCAGTGCATTTTCCAGCTGCACTTTATGACATTTTAAGGCATGCACTTACAAAAACTATTAAACTAATTTTTTTGACAAGAACTTGACGAAGGGAAATATAGCTAGAACCCTAAAGAACTACACCTTTTGAAATATTATAATAAGCATTTATAAAGACATTTATATTTTGAAAATTGCATCTGAATATTAACGAATTTGTATTTAATTTAAAATTAGTTTTTATTGCCAATTTGGCCGTGTAGTGTATGCACATTCAGGCATCTGGTAACAATTCCATTTGCGCTGGCTGTCAGATCTGCAGGAATTGCTCAGCTGCCTGGCCGACAATTCTCCTGTCGCAGAAAGAGACAGCCTGAGTGGGGAGAAAGAGGCAGCCTGAGCGAGGAGAAAGGGACGGACTAAAGGAGATGACAGCCATGAATGGCATTTCTTCTGCTACCTCCAAGCATAATTTACATTGTATTTCAACTTGAGTGTGCAGTTGAGGCTGTCTTTTATGGTTTGTCTTGGCCCGCTTCGGGTTTTTCGTTTGGGTTTTCTCGCTTTCAGCCTTTATTCAGTTCTCTTTGGCAAACGGAAAGTTTCACTTGTCACTGGCTGTGGAATTTTGAGCGTAAAAGGCTTTATTCGAGTTGCGCGAACGGAAACCTTGGTTAGCTACAATTTATACATGTCGAGCTTGTTAAGTTGTGATTGCGCTCTGGCCTAAAAGTGGACTTTTGGCGTACTGATTGCATCATAATTACCCAACTGCCTCCGTCCCTGATTTTGCCCCTAAGTGCTTTTTAACGAGCTCTCTTCGGTTTTGGCTGCTGTTGCTGCTGCTGTTGCTGTTTGTTGTCCGTTTGAAAAAGGGCCGGAAATAGGAGGGCAAAAAATTTGAAACATTTGTTTTACCCCCACGCCAAATGATTTTCTGTCGTAATTTTCCCCCCGTGAACCAGTCATGGTCATTTCCCTTTCAGCCGCTTTCCAAACTCTGTCGTTATAATCTGCTACATGGACCCCATAATTTGTAATTTCAACCTAATTACTTCAAGCACAGGCGAATGGGGAACAGACCAGCTAAACAATGTTGTCCGCAATAAAATGTCAAAAACCAAAGCATAACGCCCATTTCGTCGGAATCACACACACACACACGCACATGGAGGCGAAAAGGACACGCCCCCTCACATGCACAGAGTGTATGATTTCGGTTTTTGTGTCCTTTGCTGGTGACATATGTTAATGATCTGGCAGCGATTTCTGGGTCATTTAAATTGATTTTTACGCCTCTCGGGTTATTTTTGTTATTTAATTAATATGGAAGTAAAAGCAAACGTGTAATTATTATAATAATAATTGAAATAATTCTGTAATTATTTTCTCATTTCATTTTTAATTCGTTAGCACTTGTCATGGTGCCATCTAAAAAAATATGAATTATTTATCATATTTCACCTTCTAGCCTTCAAATAAATGTATTAAATCAATTACGTCAACATCAATTTGTAAATACGGGAGTCAAAAAATGGCTAAATTAATTACATTAAAATTCCAATCCAATAGTTTCATACCAACAGGCATTGCTGTAACTATTTCCGAATAGTTGTACAACATACGACGTATGTGTAACAAAAACTCGAAATTAATAAATGCATGTACATTAATATTTAAGTCTTTTGTCAGACAGCGAATGAAAAACTACCGAATATCGCGGCAGAAACAGCTTTTTATTTTTAGCAGCATCAAATATTTATATATTGAAGCGCCAACTCAGTTGAGTTGAGTAAGTGGATCAACTGAATCTCGGTCGTCGGAGAGGAGTGGCCAGGAGGGCAGGAAGTCAGGATGAGTCTGGCAATGCAGGAAGCTGATATGGAATGTTCATTCATATTTCATTTCGCGAAATTTTTTGGGCCAAGTCAGAAGAGTGCAGCAGAGTCGTCAGTCTAACCAGTCGGCTGAAACGCATTTCGATGGAAAAACGAGACACAAACTCTGATGGGTTCAGGGGATGCCTTGATCCTTAAAAAGATACCCTAAAAATAAAAAATAATCAAATTGAAATTAAAACATCTCATAAAAATGTGATACATTTTAGAACTATGTACATATTTTGCAGGAAAAACTGAAAGTTCTACGATTTTAATTGAACTGTATTCTGTCGAGATCCTAAAGTAAAACTCAAAACATATCAGTTAATTTTTCCATTTTTGAAAAATATTCTGCCTGGGAATTCGGTGCGAAAATTTGTGCAACTTGTCCAAGGAAATTTTCCTCCAACGGAGAAGTGCAAAAACGCAACAAAGCCAATTGAAGTGCAATGGATATGTCGCCATATAGCCCTGGTAACACCAGTTACACCAGAAATCAGCGGTCACCATGACGTTGACCGTAAAAGTAACTGTTGCAATGACACAGCCGTTACGGCTTGGCCATCCATCGCAGGACAACGAATTTCTGGGGCCATAAAATAGTAACATCAATGGAACGCATTCATACGTGGCACATTCGCGCATGAACCTCGACTGACCGGAATAAAGTGCTATTAATAATAAATGTTGCATTGGCAGAGGGCGAAGGCGAGAGGTGGCCAAATGAACTTGGCAAGCCGAAAGCCGAGAACCGAATACAACCAACGGCCAAACAGCCAAACAGCCAACCAGTCATGACCCCTTTCATTGCTGGGGGATTTCCCATTTCCCGGTAATGAAAAGCAACCTGCACTGCGTACGCCCATTGTTCCCCGACCACTAAAATGGGTATCATGATTGCTATTTGAAATATGCTACAATTCCTGGGAAGCACTCAGTCACAAGACGATTTAATTCTTTGAAAACAATAAAAATATAAACTGTAAACATCAAGAGTACAGTGCTTGGAATATTTTTTTGCTGATTGATAAGCATCATCAACAATAATTTTATTAATGTTGGCTAACTTTGCTCAAAACTGTTTTAAGTACAATAGAATTGAGTTAATAGTTGAATTTATATAAATTTCCTTAAAGAACGGAGTAGTTTCTCTAATGATATTTTAATTGCGGAATTAATCACACTCCTGTACTGAAAGTTCCCACATATACTTCGGTAAATGCAGGGTATTGCTTCCGTGTAACCATCCCATTCTGGCTGGAAAACTTGTTGTCCACATACAACATTGAAAAGCCGGAGCAACTACAGAGTATCAGGGGGTGGGCAATGCCGAATAGCAGGACTACTGGCATAATAATAATAAATGCCATAATCCCCTCGAATCGGCGCTCCTCTGTGGCCATTTCTCCGGCTCCTTCCATGTGTGGGCTGCATTTTTATTATTTCATTTTCATTGTTTCATTTACAGGAAAAACAACAGCCGCGTAAACACAACAATAAGAACAGAAAGCATGGGCAAATGCCATTCGACGCGTCAAGTGAATTAAGCGATTTTTAAAGCTTTACGCTAAATGAAATTTGAATTGGCAAAGTGTTCACTTGTGTGTGCAAATTAAATTACGCAAATCAAATAAATGCTTTAAACAAAAATATATAAACCCAACGCATGCGGAGTGCAAATAAAAATGCAGTGCAAAAATTACCAACAATAGTGTAAATAATTCAACAAATGTTTTATAGCACCAGACATAGATAAAATTAAACGCAGAACAGAAATAATAAAAAACAATAACGCAACAACGAATATAATAAAATGTTTATTCTAACGGTAATTAAATTGCTGCTGATAGCATTAAATATATTTCCCAGTCGCTTTACAAATCGACGGATTATGTTCCTCATCTACATGACAAATCTGGTGACGCACGGTAAGCACACCTATATAATTGATAATTTATTGATTTAGATTAAATGGTTGAGCCAGATGAAAACGCTGAACTTCTTTAATACAGCTTCAAAATAAATAACGACATTTAAGCTTGTTAATGCTGGGATTAGTTTGTGTTAAAGCGTTTCCCACATTTTACTTTCATTATATTCAACATGGATTTATAGGCTTTCGAATTCGACAAATTTGATTAATTCCATACTGCATTTTAATACACATGCATTTAACGATTTTCATATATTTTATTTACTCAATTGCTTTTGGAATACAAAAATCAAACAAAGCATTGTGCCTTCCTTAAGCAAAATATGAATAATAAAAGTTGGATTTTTCTCACTCTCCATGTTTTAATACTTCTTAATAAGCATTTCCATGCGCTTGCGTTTCCGCCACATAGTACGTGTTGCACCCCATGTTGAAACTGTCAGATCTGGCCATAATTTAATTAAGAAAATGAGACCTCAAAACGTTGGCAACGCAGAAGGCCCAAAACTACAGCCCACACGCAGGTGAAAGCCGTGAGCCGAGATACGGTTGCAATGCTGGTGCCTGCCGGCCAAAAGGGGCGTGGCAGGAAGTTTGGGGCGCAGGGGTGCCACGACTGCATGACGCAGATAACACAGCAACACGGCCCCATCAACTTGGCCAGGAGGTAGACCATGTTTTTATATCCGACACTGCTAGTGTACACGGGCATATTGCAATTCGACAGAGGATTGTGGCAGTTTGTCTTGGAAAGATACATATTTGTGTTTATACTTATTTGAGAAAGTATATATTTTGGTTTTTAATAACTCCAAAAAATGTTTGTTGCCTTGCGAAATTTAATTTGTCAACATCTCATGGCTTCAATGAGAAAGCACTTAAAGATAAAGATATAATTTGTAATAAGGTATAAGTATTTATGGTGGCAGCCTGCAAGTTTCTAGCCTCAACACTTTGTTTTCAAATATTTTTTAACAACGTTTTTATGAAATAGTAAAGAAAAGTAGCAGTAGGTACGTTTTTATGAAATAATATAGAAAAGTAGCAGTAGGTACGCTTTTATGAAATAATATAGAAAAGTAGCAGTAGGTACTACACTTTTACCCTGAGTCAGGTATTCCATAGTCGTTGCTCAGAGAGCTGTGGTACTTGTATTATTTTCGCTATTTCTGCTGCACTTCCGCGGCAAAGACAGCGGCACGAACACGAGCTGAATGCATAGAAAAGGAAAACGGAGACAAAAGTGGCAGCAGGCAGCCTCAACAGGCAGAAGCTACGTGTTGCCACTTGGCCCCATCACCCCACCACCCACCCCATCATGCCATTTACACCACCACCCCCGGCAGATAAAAAATTTCTTTGTTTAATTATTTCATAATGACGCTGCGGTTGCCGTTGCCACTATAGCTGCTGTTGATTATATTTGGCCTGTGGGTCAGGGATTTCCGGCAACAGCTGCTATTGCTCCTCCATCAGCATTTGCACTTCTTTATTTTTATTACCCGGCACACTCCGCTGGGCTTTAATGACTTCGTTATGGTTTCCATGGCGAGAAATGGGGCTCCGAGTCGGCCGTCCCCACAAATTATTCATACGTACTTAAGAATTTTTCTCAAACTATTTTTGACAAAAAATGTTGTTCGTCTCAGGAACAGTAAAAACTTGTAACAAAATGGGGTGCAAAAATATACTATTATTTTATACTTTTTCTTTTGTTAATCAAACTTTGGCTGTTGCTAAAAACAATCGAGTATGAGTTGGTATTAATATGAAATATGATCCTTTGTTTGCTAAGAAAGAGAAGGAGTGCCCAGTTTATACTATAAAAAATAAATGAAATAAATGAATAATCTTACGCGATAAGAGTCTTCTGAAGCCTTCAATTACTTACCAGATATCGCCAGCACTTGTAATTCGAGCATTATTAAAGCCGGAAATCAGCTCAACTACGTTGCGCGCAATTTCCTCGGCCAAGCTTAGAATTAAGTTTCCCAGTTGACTCCTTCTCTCATTAACTAACCCACTTTCGCTGCCACTTTTCACTTGCAGTCATGATGGATGAGCCACGTTTTGCGCAGCCGATACCAAACGTCACCGTTGCTGTGGGTCGAGATGCCAATCTGCCCTGCGTTGTGGAGCACTTGGGTGGCTACAAGGTGAGAAGCGGGAGAAAGTGGAGAAATTCCGGGAGGGGAAACCCTGGGGAAAATGTCATAAATCGTGCGTAAACTGAGCCTCGGCCAGTTGATGAAGGGGTTTGCAAGCGAGGCGGACACTGTCAAAAATCAATTTCGCAAATTGCACAAGGAGCCTGGCGATTGACTGACCGAGTAACGAATAACTGACTAACAGTCAGGCAGAATGACAGACTTTTGTGGCAGTCAAATGGCAGCTATAGCTAAAAACAGACCTATCAAAATATTACTCGGAAATACTCGTACAATGGAAATTCTGTGCGATGGCGAGTCGATGACTTTCTGCTGTCATTAGCAAGTCGAACTTTTGTTTGCCCGAAGACACAATTTATGAGCTCTAGTCGGCGCTACATGCATATATGCATCTAATCCACAATAAGCTAGGGATATACTCTGGCCAGGACGAAGGACCTCTGATGCTCTCTCGACCAAGCCAAATGGCTAGAAAATCACTTATCATTTATCTCCCTCAGCTGTGAGCTGCTGGCACACAGCGAGCTCATAACAAATCACAAATATTTACTCGCCATATCAACTTCATATAAAACACTGTCGCCAGGACCGCCAGGACCGCCAGGGCCTAGCTAGGACTCGAGTCCTTGCTCCTTGCCCCTTATTGGACTTTTGTCAACATTGGCCTGGACATGAGCAAAAATGCCGGGGAGAGTAAAGCGGGAAACTCATTGCTGTCAGTACTGGTGCTGGGGGCAAATTTGAAAAGTTTGCTGCTAACTCAAGGCTGGGAAAGTCCTTTCACCAGGAAGAGTTCTTCTCCTTCACAGAGAAAAAAAGTTGTTAAGGTTAAGCTTGCCAAAAAATACCAGTTCATTCTTCAAAATTTAAGCGTTAAGGGGCAGTATTGAAAATTAAATCCTGGGATACCTAACACTATTTCGATTTAAGGTAACCGAAGTATGAAACAAAGTGATTGCACGTTGTATTTCTCTGTGTAACATGTCCTTTGGTGCAAGGCAGAGTGAAGTCCAAAGAAAGTGCGCACAGAAGGAGCAAAAAAGTGTATTAGAAATGCGGAAACAGCTGTCAGGCTGGCATTATCCTGGGGTCCTGCGTCACAACATGACGTTCATTTATAATGGCAGGGTCTCCACATGTGCCTAGCCGGGAATCCAACTTGGGAGTATGGATGGCTAGGTCTTTGAAGAACGCCTTGAGGACTCTCTCCACATTAACCGAACAATTGAGCGCATAATGCGAATGAAGTTTGAGAATTATGCACACTTTGCAGGTGGCCTGGATACACATAGACAGGCAAATGATACTGACCATCCACCGGCATGTGATATCGAGGATACCGAGGTACAGCATCACCTACACGGACAACACGTGGCTGCTGCACGTGAATCAGGCTCATCAGGACGATCGCGGCTACTATATGTGCCAGGTCAACACCAACCCGATGATTAGCCAAGTGGGCTATCTACAGGTGGTCGGTGAGTACTCCCCACCCACTCTTATGCCGCTTAATCAACAAGAGCTGATTCGGATTGCACCCGTTCCGCAGTGCCACCAAATATTCTGGACATTGAGAGTACGCCGTCGTCGGTGGCGGTGCGTGAAAATCAAAATATCAACATGACCTGTCGGGCCGATGGCTTTCCGGCCCCGAAAATCATTTGGCGGCGCGAGGATGGCGAGGAAATCACCGTCGAAAAGAAGAAGAAAGGTATGTGTGATACAGATACAATAAAAATAAATAAATAAAATAAAAACAAAAGAAGTGAATGAAAAGAAGAGGTATAGAAAGGTATACTTTGAAACATAAGGTCTCGGAAAAATTGCAATCACTTGATCCAGTATCACTCCTGTGTAACCTTTCAATTTGATAATCACAATGCTTTAACACGTTATTTCCATGTGCCGGATATTGAAAAACCCCATCGGAAACAATAGTTCTGGTGTACGATGCCGATGTCCTGCCGCTAACCAAAGTGAGTCGCAATGAAATGGGCGCCTATTTGTGCATCGCCACCAATGGAGTACCGCCATCGGTGTCCAAGCGGATCATTCTGGACGTGGAGTGTGAGTATTCGATTACCGGTGGGCGTGGGGAGTGGGTAGCTCGATTAAATGAGGAATGAAAGCGGCACCAATCGTGGGGGAAATACTACGGAAGGGTACATATTATATTAGACCCGTAGTTGGCCGCCTTTGTCAGTTTGGTGGAAACACGCGCGCGCACTTACCGGAACGCGAGGAGGCCATTCATCCAACCAGGCTATTCATCTATCTAGCTCTACCTATCTATCCGACCATCCCGCCATACTGGCATCCATCCAGGCATCCTGCCAGCCAAACACACAGCCATTCCGGGTATCTAGTTTTCGTGCCATATTCCTTCGTGGAGCTGCGCATCGCCTCTTGGTTGTACCTGCTGCTCATCAATTTAACTGCACGCTCGTTGCTCCGGCTATGAGTGACAAACGCGGCTAAGCTGACGCCATCTAATGCAGCTGACATATAACAGCGGATACAGGTATAGAATACACTGGGCGAAATATTCCAAAAATATTTGCATGTAGGTGGAGGGTGAAGTTTATCCAAGTTAATTTGTTTGGAGGAAGCTTCGGCTTAAAAACTCAAGTAAATCTGCAGATAAGCATATTACGAAAGTTTTGAAGAATTTTCTAAAATGGTTTCGGATTTTTTTTAACATACATATATATATTTCGCCAGTATCCTTTGAGCGGCAGACATGGTGTCCTGTAGCTGGGCGAAAAAGCTTGGTTGCCATTGCACGCCGTGCGCCAGTAAACGCTTGTTAATCCTAACGAGTTTCAGCCAGCCGCGGCTCCCTTTCCCCCTAACTGCCCCCTGACCACGCCCCTGCTCCACCGAACCCCCCTTGACAATAATTCACGTCACGTACCTGCAATAAAGTCACTTGGCGGCGTTGCACGTATGACTTTGACGGCGTTTTTCTGTTTAGCCGTGTGTATTTTTCTCTCTATTTTATTATGAACGGTTTTGTGCGTGTCTGAGCCCAGGGGGCGTCAAAAAAGGGGGCGGCACCCTGAAAACGAGCAGCCATCCTCATATTGCAGGTGTAGGCATTGTCAGGAGCGTCTAAAATTCCCAACTAGCCCGCTGCTTCCTTTATTTCCGTTACGAGTTTGATAAAGGATTCGGTTTTGGTTTCATGTTCGGATCACTCGTGGGGTTGGCTTAAAAAACCATATGTCTTATTAAATAAGATGGAATATATTGAGAATCTTTTCAGGTAAATCGGGAAAAGCGGTTAAGTTTTTATGGCGAGTACTCACAAGATGCTAAACAAACAAACAAACCAACAAGATATTTTACAAAAACTGCAGATGCTTAAGTATCTTTTGCAGAAGAGTATATATTATATTATAAAACTGAGATAGCAATAGTTGAAAAAGTATTGATTTTTGAAAAAGGGGTAAATGCTGCAAAAATATATGCAATACGGACACGAATTTTCCTTTGGCCCTGTCGTCTTCTCATCCGCAGCACGTACTTCCTGCAAAACTTAATTTATTTTTCTAGTACCCTCATTTCACTGACGTGTTGTCTTAGCCATATTGTATTTCTAGACCAAGTTTCCAGCTTTGTCATTGCACTTTCATTTTAAGCTGGCGCATAACAAAAAAAATAAAAAAAGCAGACAGAAAATGTTGAACAGGCGTAATTCTGCCGCTTATGCGTGCTTTGCAGCGGCACTTTCCTCGCCTTCGTACCACCTGAGTTTTCCCCCAGGTGCCATTTACATTTGCTAACGTACCATATCAACCAGCTTTTCCGTTTCCACCCCTCTGTATCCACAGTCTCGCCAATGATTTGGGTGCCGAATCAACTTGTTGGCGCCCCATCCGGCACAGATGTAACCATCGATTGCCACACGGAGGCGCATCCCAAGTGAGTCTCCTCGGATTGCGATTGCTTTCGATTTGCTTTTAGTTTTGCCTCTACTATATCTTTATATATCTATTCCTGTTCATATTCATGTTACACAGATTGTAGCTTAGTGCCAGTTTTATTTTGGATTTTCTATTGCACCTAGTCTACTCAACAAATTTTGTTTAATGCTATTAGCTTTTGTATAAGAGCCTTTCAAAGGATTTAATAATGAAAGTTGTTTTAAATTTCTTTTTGAGATTCTCCATTTAATTTGATTTCCTTAAACTGATTAAATTAATGCAATTTTAATAAGCTCAATATCTCTTTTGGAACTAATTTTTTAAGAGCTGCTTTTTAGTTACTCCCACATAATTTTTTATAGGTCTAAACAAATTTACGTTGCACCTGATTGCAGACGGATGTGTGCTCTGTGTGTCTGTGTTGAATTTTGTTCATTCGATTTGCCTTTGATTTTGCTAAAATATTTACATTCATTTGAGAATTTGATTAGTTTTCTTTTTTTCGTGTGCATGTGTGCAGATTTTCGTTTACATTCGATTTGAAATGTTTTTTTGTTCCTTCCCTGCAGAGCCATTATCTATTGGGTATACAATTCGGTGATGGTGTTGCCGAGCAAAAAGTATAAAACCGACTACACGGAGAACTCCTATCGGTAAGTCACTTTCGACCAAAACAGAATAAGGAATAAGGAATTCAAAAACAAACTACATACAACATTGAAAATTGTGTTCTTAAATATTTATCATCCATTTGCACTTGCCATTTTTGGGGGTCAGGTGCAAGTGCAAATGTCTTAGCCCCCTTTTTCGAAAGCTCGGGTAGATAAGCTGCGCCATGGATATATCCTCAAGCTTAACGTATCCTTCTTGCAGTGCCCACATGAAGCTGACGATAAGAAACCTGCAATATGGTGACTTTGGCAACTATCGATGCATCTCGAAGAACTCGCTGGGGGAAACGGAAGGCTCCATACGTGTTTACGGTAAGTGCCTGTGTATGGGTAACTAAAGTGCACTAGTTACGGCAAATACACACATCGACACACACGTACACTCATCCCGAGCAATGCAATATCGCTCGCCCTTTGTGGCACAATTTTGCCAAAAGCTTTTACCTATAGACCCTGAATCCACACGACCCTATATGTGCACTATACGTTGTCCTCCGGAGCGTAAAACTAAACGAGTGGTGGCTACTAGTGGCTGGTGGGTGTTGTCTGGCTCCACCTGCCCCATGTGCTCCACTCCTAGCCGGGCATCCTCAGGCCCCGTGGCCACACGGAGACACATTCACCATAAACGTAAACGGAAAATAAAGGTGAATTTCGGAATTGTTTGACTTTGTATCGTTTGCTAGCCCAAGGAGTCGCCCCTGAACATATAGTATATATATACGTACATACACGTATACGTACGTGTGCGCTGGCTGCATTTATTTATTTATTTTTTATGCACTTTGCCTGTTTTCTCGGCTTTTCTGCTGTTTACAAGTTGCCGTTCGCCTTCTGCAGATGGCAAATGCTGAAGTTGTTCTATCCCAAAGGTTATCTCCGAAACACGTTGATCTTGGCTTTTTTGCAAACTGCAAATCGTTTAAATTCAATAGCAATTAATGTGGGTAGATTTCAGATATTTACATTTCCATTCTGTACTTCGGGAAATATGCATCTGTTTGAGGCGAACATTTTAAAGTTGATTTTCTACGATTTTTCAGTTAAGGCCTTGAAACCTAATTAGGTTTATGACTGAAACCAAGAAGGCTTTTAACTGAAAGCTTAGTTTCTTTAATTTATTAAACTGGGAAAGTGTGCGTTTGACCTTACATCTGAAGAAACCGCACACTTGACATACTAAGCCAATGCAAAGCAACCGACCTTAATTCCGCTGGCATAATGTAATGAAAACCCATTTTGTTTATTATTATATATTTTCCGTTGGCCGCCAGGCCACTGCTGCTTGAATGCCCTTCTAATTATTAATTATGCAATATTATTCAAATCCATTTGCAGAAATACCCTTGCCATCCACACCATCCAAGCAGGTCACCCACACCACCGTCGAGTCCAGGGAGAGTAAGTATAGTATCAGTCGGAAAAGTGTGTGGAAATTGGGGGGAAAGTGGCGGCGTCGGGTGTCCCACCTTCAAGTGTGGAATGCCTCGTATTTGCGCTCAACACATTCAGCGTTGAGCGTGAAAGTCACACCACACACTCGCACTCACACACAAAGGGAAGGATACAGGATACAGGATACGGCGAGCCACAAACAAAACTGCGAAAGTAGCAGCTAAGCCAGACAGATCCACAAACAGGGTGGCGCAAAGGGTTTGGGGGTGGTAGGAGTTGGGTGGAAAACGGGGGAGTGGCACACGCCCACCAAGAGATAAACTAAAGCACTTTTGACTATTTCAGCGACGGGGTTTTTCGCCTTTCTGCATCTCCACTTGCCATAGAAAAAAAGGTTTTGCATTTGTAGCTCAGCTCAATGCTTAAAAAAGTAATATTATTATAATAACTACTATATATTTATTTGGAAATATGTGAAGTTATTTTTCTGAAACGCAAAATTTATTTTTAAATACTACAATTTTTTATTTGTGTAGGCAGCTTTTTTCCGTGTGTTCTTCAGTGGCTCCTGTTGAAATTCAAGTCGAGCAGAAAAGTACACACACTTTCAAGTCTCCGTCCGGGCTCGTGGCCGTGTCCTTTTTCCGTTTCCACTCCTACTCCCACTGCCATTCCCACTCCCATTCCCACTCCCATTCCCACTTCCATTCCCTGTCCCATGTCCAAGTCCACGTCCTCTGGCTTGGGGCAAAGCAATATGCCGGGATTACGCTGGGGCGGAGGAGGATTTTCGGGGGCATTAGGTTGGAAACACATTTGAAACACTGCCGCAGACTTTGAGCCCGTGAGCTGGAGCGCTGGAGAGCAGAGCAAAAGACCAAGCATATTTTATTTAAAGTGACTGGCAAAGCAGCGCGAGCAATGCAACGGAACCTAATCCAGGAGTCAGCCAACAAAGGATGTTATTGTTTGTGTGTGTGTGTGTGTGTGTGCGTGCAGTCACATGTGTGTTGGTACGCTCCATTGTGCGACGATATAAATTTTTTGTATCGCAGCCAAGATTTCCACGCAATTTAACTTGAAAACCATGTCAGGCGTGGGGTTAAGTTTTGTTTAAGAGACCACAACTTTTGCTAGCCAATAGTGACCCACAAGTGAACAAACAGTAAACGACAGCAACAAGAACTTCTTGTCGATTTCCGGCAACTGAGACATTTCGAAGACTAATTTTGTGTGACACGAGGTAAATGAAAAATGGGGTTTTCCAAGTTCCTTTGCAATAAGAGTTGAAGCAAGTTTGAAATGCTTTAAATGAAGAAGAACAGGTGATGGCTTAACATTTAACTGAATTATTGTTCATATGAAGCACATTTCGAGTGACTACTGTATGCTTGCCTACTAAAATGTATAATTCCACTTGTAATCTGCAGACAATATCATACCCTCATCACGCAACGACACAACGAAGTCCCTGCAAACGGATGTGGGATATGCCATGAAGAACGATTTATATCCTGGCTCGGCCTCCTCCTCGTCTTCGGGAGGCAGTTCCTCGGCGGCCTCGTCCTCCACCTCGATGCAGACCTCGGCATTGCCAGGAGGTGTGGCGGGAAATAGTCTATCATCGATGGGCTCCAAAGGATCCTTGGCGATAGGCAAGAGCACATTCTACACGGAGCGACCACCGAATGAGTACGCCTCCTCGTCAGTGGGTAAGTCCTGGAAATGGAAAGTCCTTTGCCTATGACAATCGCCATGTACATCATGTTTTTCTTAGCTGGCCTGCTGCTTCATAGAGCATTGCTGTTCGGCTCTGGAATCTATCTGATCCTGCTTTGAAATCAATAAGTCGTTTGAGTTAATCAATAAGCATTTGGAAAATGCAGCCAAAGGGGGTATAGAAAAAAACGGGGGAATAGCTTAGGTACATCATCATATTTCATAGCTGAAAGTATATCAAAAATCCAATAATAATAATTAACAAACAAAACTGCTTCAAACTTGGCTCACTTCACAGCTATAGGAATTTGTAAAGTTATTTAAATAAAATTAAAAACTTAAAGGAAAAGAAGAAGTATTTTGAAGAACAATAAAATGCTCATTGTATGTATAGAACTTATGAAATTCGAAGCTTAAGATAAATTACTGACCATATGAAAATCGTACGAAAATCAAATTGTACAATACACATACATATATTAAAGTTAAAATAGGCTCGAGATAAATTGTTTGACACTAAAGTGACCCTTTAAATGTTTTTTGTTTAAAGAGCGCCCAAAGCAAAGCTTTTCTAGAGCGAAAAACGTTTACCATTTGAATTTGAGTTGAAACCATTTTAATTTCGGCATATCATAAACAGAAACACTGAAGCTTAAATATCCTATATCAAGATTATAATTGTATAAATTTGTTTCAACTTAAACATATCTTAAAACCATATCTAAATTTTTTAAAAACTTGTTACTCTTTCTTAGTCACTTCAGTTCTTTAAACTTTTTCTGTTGTTGTCCCATTTAAGCAATCGTATTTATGCGTTCAATTCGCAACAAAGTTTTCAGCCTTCCCAACTGCAGCAAAGAATTCCAATTTATTTAATGAAGCAAAAGTCGAAGGGTTGTCAGATCGGGCCACGCCCCCTTTTGCGCCCATCGCTAGCTCTGAATTTGGTTGCCAAGCGACATTTAAACGCCTTAAAAATGCCATTCATTTTAACCGTTTCCCTGCTGTCGATGGAACGACAAAAAATTTGCAATAATAATTTGCAATACCTTGATTCCGTTTCCTGGTCTTCCGGAAACCGCCTCGTCATCGTCATCGTCATCGTCGTCGGCTTTTGTGCGCTTCCATCACTTTTTAATAAATGTGCATGCTAATTATATTATTACTCATACGACCCGTTGCCATGTGTGTCCTTTCACTGTCTGTTTTCCTACGCCTCTGGCGCTGCCTCTCCGTGCGAAATACTTGCAATTAATTTCAGCATAAAATTGCGTGGCCTGCGGTCCCTTGGCCCCGCACAATGACACACAGTTAACATGTCCAATTTATTGGCCATAACTCATGCCCGGGATCGACCAAGGAGTGAGTGAGAAGGATCCAGGATCCAGGAAGCAGGAACCAGGATCCATGGCCAATCCAGAGACAGACATCCGCGCCATCGACGTGGCAAAGAAAAATGACATTAAGGCCAGAAGATATATGGCCCATTTGCATATAGGTTCATGTACGTATGCGTCCATGTATATGTATAAACATGCGGAGGGTTGCAGGTTAAAGGCCTGCCAATTTACAGTATTTATGCCACAACGTCGCCGTTGCACGGTTTTAATAATTCAACTTGTGTTGCATAAAGTTTGCATTGACATAAACATAATGAACGATGGAAAACCGCATGCGAAATTGCCTTTCTGCTTTCTTCATCCGCATCCGCATCCGCATCCGCATTCACATTCGCCTTGCCCTTTCGTTTATTAACATTGTTAATGCCAAAAGGAGAAAAGCGCATTCAGCGTTGAAAATATTGATAATCAACATTGTGTCCTGAAAGCGTCGACGCTTCGACAATAACAAAATTAATGCATTTTATTTAATTTTACCCAGAGACGGGAACTGGAAATTAAGGTCGCCAGTGCAGTTAACTCCAACAATGCAGCTAATTAAGCATTATAAATGCAGATGAAACGCCAACAGGCCAAGGATATGTGACAATCTTTAGGGAGTCGTATATTTTTCAGTTGTCGCATATGTAACAGTTGCGGTGCATTTATTATTTATTTAAATTGCCAGCAATAATGAACTAATTTTGCTTTGTTTATTTGGGGCTTTAATAAATTGCTCGTCAAATTTAACCACCCATTTTATTTTTAATTAGTAAATTGCGCTAATTAAAATTTCAGTTACATGTTTGTATGTTTGTAAATAGATCCTTTTTATTGAGGTCATATCAATAACCAAATATAGCTGTAAATACATTGTGACCCTTTTAGTTGCGTGTAAATATGAGATATAATAATTAAGGCATCAAACACCCACTTTAAAAATTAATAATTGAATCAGCCAGAAAATAACTTCAAATATACTAGTCAAAAAGCCTGGCAAGTAATTAACAAAGCCAAGAAAGAGATTTGTGTAAAGTTCGTAAGGTTAAATGTACTTAATTTGGCAAGTAACATAATAAATTAAAAAACATATATATAAAAACTATATAGCCTATACAAAGTAATTGAATTGTCTGTTGCCTGTATTTAAAAAATTAGCTGATCATCAAATGAAGTATATGTAAAATGTTTATAGCTTTTTGTGCGATATAAACAAGAACGGATGTGTTTTCCTATAAACAAGTTGGCAATTTGTAAAATACAAATAAAACTATTAATACAAGTTATATTTTCAGAAATAAATTTTTTACTTTTTTTTAACTTTTTTGTTTTGTCATTCTCTGTATTTAAAGTTGCTTTCAGGGATTTGGGTAACTTCGAAACCAACATTTTATAACTTTGTTAAGTAAAACACTTAAAGTATATTTTGTTCTATTTGTCCATATTTGAGCTGAAACATTAATGCCTAACTTATGTAAAAAAAAAAAACAATCTCGAAAGAAACGCAAAACGAAGGTACATTAATGAAATCTACGATTAAGATTGATAAAACTACATTGTAAGCAGTTACTTAATTATGCGATAATAATTAAACAATAAAACTTTAGGTTGATTGATACAAAAAAGCGAACCGAGCAAAAACCAACAAACTAAATGAACATAAATAACCGTTGTTTCATTAAACCATTTGCATTTAATTCTAGCTCTCAATTACATGGGGAAATGCCCAATGTTGTTGGCTCTGCTTTTGGTTTGGCATTTATGCAAATTTCCTCCCTTTAGGAGTTTGACATTTGGCGGTTGGTTCTAGCAATACTCGTCAACGAAAAAAAACGTTAATGGGAGTGTTTATTTACAGAAAGCGCCAAATTACACACATACGTGTACACAGAAAATGTTTCTTGAAATTTCTACAACTTCGTTCCTGTTGTCATCGGTCTACTTACACCTTTTTTCGCGTTGTGTAGAGCCGGCAGACCGCCAAAACCTCGATGTGCGTATACTAATTGTTTGAGTCACGCAAACAAGTTTCACACAAAATATGCTAAACACTCCCTGGGATCGCACAAGAAAAATGTTTCATAACTTAATGTTATTTGCATAGATTTCAGCAACTTGACTTGAGCGTTGACTTTCAGCAATTAGCCTAGACACGCACTTCCACAACCCCTAGCTTACCTCTAAGTAACCTATTAAAAGTGGGCGGGATGAGCAGGGATGAGAAGAAGGATAATTTGTAGCAAATGGGTTTATAGTTGCAGTGTACAGACATAATAATTTTATGGCGGAATAATGATCAAGTGTGAAGAAAGGTAAGTTTTAAAGTGCGTGACTATAAACTTACTACAAATATTCAAAGCAAATTTTAAATAGTTAATTCAAAGTGGAAACAATTTAGCTTGCCACCATTGTGCTCGACAAAACGTTTCGGTCGCAACCCCACTGCGTATACGCAATATTCCTTCAGCATCCGCAAAGTTCTCCACACATCTGTGGGGTAATTTAAATTGTGCGCACAAAAGCGCGAAAATTATGCCACGGCGAGACGAAGATTCAGACGCCACTTACAGCCGTATATACACACGCATATATATATATATATTACATTATGTATATGAGGAGTAGAGATAGAGATAGAGATAGAGGGGGTGGAAGTGAGACAGCACCGGAAACCACATTTGTCGGCAAAGTTTTGCCCACAGCCAGCCTCTCATCCACATTGCAAAAATAGTTGAGTGCCAAAGCGTGGAGCACACTTAAGATAAGCTCCAAGCGCCAAACTTTCATCTTACAAAATACGCGAAGCCCCTTTTCTGCGCCCCCGGCCCTTTGGAGCGCATTCAACAAATTAATTCTGGCTTTGTCGCTGCAGGAAATATGTTTAATTTCATTTAAATGCAGTAAGTGCAACACTTTCGTTAGCTTTTCCAGCTCTGAATGGAGTGAAGAGCAGGGGTCTACGCAGGATGTTTGGTTGGGCTGATAGAAATCTTTTGGTTGAAGTTCCTCTGGCTTACATTTTGTGCGGGCTGTGTGAAAACTGTGCAAAAAGGATTTTCATTTTCTCTGTCTGAGACTCGCTACACGTGTGCCTGCAACTTGGAAAGTAAGGAGCCGTTAATGAGTTTGACTTGAATTGAGTTGTGGCAAACGGTTTAATTAAATGTCAATCTCTGCATGTAACTCTGAATATGAATAGACTTTCGAATGGTATCATGCTTTACTTGGTGAACTATAAAAAGTTCACAGATTCCATCTGAATTTCCAATATTCAGCGAACTAACATCGACATATCCATCAACTGGACTGCAAATATGTGACCGCCATTCAGTCCGCGGACTATTCAAAGTTGTCAGAGCTCATCAGCAACGAAAATCATTACAAATCACAACTTCCACTTGCTCCGGAGTTCTGGTTAGATTTGAACTTTTCAAAGTTCGTTTCGTGTGCATTTTTTGTGCAGCAAACAATTTTTGCCGCAAATTACAGCTTAACATTTTGGTCTACCAGCGGAACACATGCACTCACATTTGATATATCGGAGATTTGCATAGCTCCAGTGCCCACTTTCTATATGTTTTCCTTGTTTTTTCAGCCAGAATTGGGATGCAGGGAGCGGACTCATCTGTCAGTTTTACATAGTGCACCCCAGAGAAATTTGTGCTTGCTGCATAAAAATTACATCGTACATTGTTCGCGAACGGACTTTGATGATGGGTAACAAAAAAATGCATCGAGTGCGTCTGAGTGTGTGGCACTGTTTTTGGCATTTCTAAAAATGTTGCATTGTGTGTGGTGCCCCATAGATGTGGCTGGTCTGACGACAAGCGCGCTGAAACTCCACTATACATATTTTTTTGTTTTACTACATATCCTTTTCATTTTGGCCGGGGCAACGACATCATTGCGCTTGTACACGGACATTTGTGGTCAGGAAAAATGTCAACCAAGCGCAATTTAAGGGGAGAGTGACAGGTTTATGAATCGAATTTTGTTGTATTATTAGCTCTCATTTTCATGAGTGTGCGACGGCTTAATTGAATTATATTTTACCCTCAAGCTGCATATTTTTAATTGCCTGCCAAACGT